TGAGTTATAGTTCTTACGTATGTTATAGAGAATAATAAATAATAATAATAAATAAATATTTCCAACAGTCACACCAATTAGCCTAGCCCCAAAGTAAGCACTATAAGGCATGTGTTATGGGATACTAGGGTAACGGATAGAATACATATTCTGTACATATATAAGTATATTTATACAGAAAATACATATTAAACATCCATGACTGGAGTACAAATGCTCGTATTTATCACACAAACATCTGCCCCCACCGGGATTTGAACCCAGGACCTCTCGAGTTGGCATCACCATGAGACCCGGTGTCCAAACCACTCGGCCACGGCGGTCGTCAAATATTGTAAACAAATTGAAATCAATACTGCCAGACACATTTTGTCAGCATTACCTATTTATTTCCGGACCTTTTAAAAATCGAAAGCAAAAAACACAAAGTATATCATCCAAATTCATGCTGTTATATTTGTCATCAGACATGGAGCAGTCATCGAGCTACCCAGCAGCAAACATCCTAGCATCCGATTCTATGTAACTTTACCATACATAATACTAGCGGCCGCCCGCTATTTCGTCCGCGCTAATATAAGTTTTTTGGAAATCCCTTAAAAACCTATTTTTTTATCGGGATAAAAAGTATCCTATGTCTTAGTCCAGGTAATAAACCATATGTGTGCCAAATTTCATCCAAATCCGTCCAGCCGTTTAGATGTGAAGAAGTAACAAGCATACACACTCACAAACTCTCGCCTTTATAATATTACTAGCGGCCCGCCCTCGCTTCGCTTCGGTGTAGAGCTGAAGTATAGACTACAGTTTTTGTTCTCAGGCTTGTATTATAAACAATGCCATTCATCTATAATTCTTCTTATACCTGCATGCAAAGTCTCAGCCCGATCGGTTTAAAATTGACAAAGTTTCATACAAACATTCATTCCCTATTTTATCCCCTTGGGGGTAGAATTGATCAAAATCCTTTCTTAGCGGATGCCTACGTCATAACATCTACCTGTATGCCAAATTTCAGCCCGATCCATCCAGTGGTTTGGGCTGTGCGTTGATAGATCACTATGTCAGTCTGTCACCTTTGAGTTTTATATATATAGATTGGCTAATATATGATACGATGGTCGTGTGAGCTGTCCCCGAGTGGCGGGTGGGCCATTCAGCCAGCACGTTCACAAGCCAGCCAGTTAGCCGACGTTCCCACACGTGTACCCTTTACGTTATGGCATCGATTATCTATCGATACCCTATCTATATCGATAATGCGTAATCGATACCTGCTGCGCCCACCATAAACCGCCGCGAATCCGGTCGCAATAATAAAAAGACAATCGACTGACTGCCCTTCTTGAATCAAATCGTTATTTATGTCTGGGAGTTAGAGAAACATAAAGAATTCACGCGGTTAGCGCGTTCGGCTGCGATCGTTGAACTTCAGCAACTTTTGCAGTGGTAGGTCATTGGATGGGTGACCAAAAATTATTATCTCGAGCTCCTCCGTGCTTCGAAAGGCACGTTAAGCCGTTGGTCCCGGCTGCATCAGCAGTCATTAGCACCCACCAATACCAATGCACCACGCGGGCCCAGTGCGGATTGGTGGGTGCTAACGACTACAGATGCAGCCGGGACCAACGGCTTATAACGTGCCTTCCGAAGCACGGAGGAGCTCGTGATAGTAAATGTTTGGTCACCCATCCAATGACCGACCACTGCGAAAGTTGCTTAACTTCAACGATCGCAGCCGAACGCGCTATCCACCTGCGCCATCGAGCTCCTCGAACGTTATAATAACTTGCATTAATTAATGAAATATTGCCTTAGTTCTTTTTACCTTTTTGTCGGTCTTAGAATGATCTTGTACCCATTGAACTTTCATAATTGGACATATCGATGCGCGGTGCCTTTTGTTATTTAATATTGTCGGAATCTGGTTTACATCGAGCTACATAAGTCGTGACCAACGATTATCTCGATCAGTTAAGGAGACCGACAGATTAAATATTCAATAGGGATGATGACTAATTTTTTTTCTTTTTTTTTCTCAGGTAGATTATCAAAAAGTATTGGACACGTATTTTTTCTTTTTTCAGATAATATAAACATTGCAGAGATATATTGATTTGAAAAGTCGCATGACGTCACGTTTAAGTACACTTATAAGTGAAAATTCACTCAAAAGTGACGTCACGAGCCCCTTCTCCCAAACTTTGACGCGCTATAACTTTGTCATTTTTTGGTTGATTGCCCAAAGAAAAAATACGTGTCCATTATTTTTTGATCATCTAACTGACGGGCTAAATAGAATTTCGTTTACTGCACCCCGTCATCACCCCTATTGTAAACGTCATAAGCAGTTCATACCGTGTCGTGTATGATGCGTGTGGACTACCAAGGGTTTAAAAGACAGATTATGCTCGTCAGCCCTAAGCTCTGAAAATGAAGAAGATAAAATAATATAAGTATAAATTATCATGTAATAATAAAAGCTTTTTTCCTTTAGGATTTCCCTTAGGGCTACAGAAAAAACCACTTAGGTTTAATCCCCTTATATGCGTTCCACAGGCAACCTCAAACTTTAGACAGAATTCGTATCTCTTGCGTGCAGTTAATAGTTTCAATATGTTATCTGAGAAAACTGGCATAGATATGTTTTACACTAGCGTTCATCACTGAGGCGGCAGTACATTTTTCGACAAATAAGCAATTGTACAATCCTTTTTTTTTGTAATTATTAAGTGTGCTTAATTATGTTGTAGTGTGTTTTTATTGGTGAAGACCTGTAATTGGCTTTCTGTTGTTATTTAAGTTTTTATTATTTTTATTCATAGCTGTTGGTCTTCCAAAAAATAAATAAATAAAAACAGATTATAAACCTAATGAGCGTTAATTAAAAAGAAAGAAGTACAAAATAGTTGTTGTGTGAATCATTCAGCCTGTATTTTAACATGTAAATAATGTTTTAACAACCTGTATATATGCAATGTGTGCAGCACAAAACCTTTTAGCTGATAGTTCAGGTTGGTTCGTGGTTGGTCATTGGTTGTTTATTAGTATAAAATTATTGAAGGACTCGAAGTATTTTTAAGTGACTTTTTTTATATCTGTGCCTAAAAAACTACTACTAGCAAAAAATTTATGGTAACACCCGAAGTTAGCTATGGCAAAACTTCAGGTGTTCTTTTTATTTAACACTAAAATTTGAGTTACATTTCCTTGCCACCAGAGGTCAGACTTTTTTATATGGGATTAAGCGGATCTCCTTAATACTTAAATCTATTGTCTACACTGAAGCGAAACGAGGGCAGGCCATTAATACTACACTTGATAAATCTTACATTAATATTTAAAAAAATCTATACTAATATCATAAAGGGGAAATATTTTATTGTTTCTTTGTTCATTTGTTTATTTGAATATATTGAATAGGCTGCAAAACTACACGACAGATTCATAAAATCTTTCACATTTAGCATAATAAGAAACCTACATTATCCCTGATGAACAATCTGATAACCAATTGCGTGCCCGACGGGGTCCATAATGCACATATGTACCTACCACCCACTGTACACATTATGGTTGCAATAAAAGATTTGAGTTTGAGTTTAAGTTTGAATATAGAATAATTCCAAAAAAGTTAGGGTTCCGTATGAAAACTTGGATAATGTGTGAAAAAAATACCAAAGAATAACCTTTTATCGCGTACGCTGCGGAAGTCATTGAGGATACAACAAAGTGATGTACTAAAGTTTTATAGAGGACATCGATATCTACAAAAAAGTCCACAATACCATATGTCTAACTATCACAGTTATGTCACGACTAGAGGTCCCCTGTGATTACAACCGCGTTAATTTGAGGAAAAAGGTTATAATGAGACAAACTTAAAAGATAGGCATATGCTGTCGCGAACTTTTTTATAGAACTTTTAAACTGAACCAATTCTGTAGTACATTATTTTTGTCTTAGTTTGGCCTCTAAGAAGCTTGGTGTGCTCAATAGATCGAGAATGTACTTCACACCGGCCCACCGACTGAAGCTTTATAAGGCACAGGTGCGGCCTCACATGGAGTACTGCTCTCATCTTTGGGCGGGGGCACCCCAGTACCAGCTTCTCCCTTTGGATCGCATCCAGCGCCGAGCGGCTCGAATCGTCGACGACCAGGACCTTTCCGATCAGCTTGATCCTTTGGCTTTGCGTAGGGATGTAGCTTCGCTCTGCATCTTCTATCGCATTTATCACGGGGAGTGTTCTGAGGAATTGTTCGGATTAATTCCAGCTGATGCATTTCGCCATCGTATGTACATCGCGACAAAAATTTCATACCCATCATCTTGATGCGTGGCTATCCACAACCGTGCGTTTTTGTCGAAATTTTTTACCACGTACGACAAAACTGTGGAATATGTTGTCGCCAGCAGTGTTTCCGGACCAATACGACCCAAGAACCTTCAAAAAAAGAGCGTACTCCTTCCTGAAAGATCACTTACCATCAGGTGAGCCGTCTACTCGTATGCCCCCTATAACATAAAATAAAAACCTAGCGTACGCGACGGAAGCTCACAAATAGAATATTTTTACCCGATTTTCTATAATTTTTCATCGATGATCCGCTCCTACTGATTGTAGCGTAATGTTATATAACATAAAGCCCTCCTAGATAAATGCAATGTCCAACATAAAAAGATTTTTTCATATTGAACAAGTATTCCCTGAGATAAACGCGTTCAACCAAAAAAAATGTATACATACATAATCTGAGAACAAAAACTATAGTCTACACTACAGCAGCTGTACACCGAAGCGAAGCGAGGGCGGGCCACTAGTTATTTTATATAGATACTGTCTGCTATTGAAAAAATAGTTTCGGCGTTCAAAACCAAGCAATAGTAGATTTGTTGTTCTATAACCGTTGAAGTTATCCGAAGCTAAAAACTTGATTCTTAATTAACAACACCGTGAAAATAAATTTAAAATTTACGCTGCGTTTTTGCATTTCCAGATTTACAAAGAGGGCTCGTTACACCTAATAATCGGGCTGTCAGAGTTCTTGGTAAGTGACTTTTAAAAATAAAACTTGTACGGTATACGTAACTGCTGCGGAATCCATAAAAAATCTCGTAAACTGCAACGTAATGTAAGCTACTTGAGCTATTAAGAAAATCACACAGTACTTTCAAGTGCCAGAGTACTCAAAAAGTTTTGCGACTAACAGTTTTCGTCTACGGGACATTGGCTGGTTTAGATTTCAATTAAAAACTGTGAATATTTCTTACAACAAAACACAACATTTCAAATTCGAAATTCCCTCCACGTTTGTAACGAGCGAAATTAAAATATTCTTTCTGCATGAACTGCAACCGTGCATTAAAGCCCTCTGTTCTCTCTTCCTACCCCGCTCGGACCACGGTCTAAACGTGTGTTTGTGTGTATGTGAGTGTACGTTATTTAGTTACCAGTTCAGCATAAAAGTAGCAGTCAAGAATATATTGGGAACTTATCACTGTTTATAATATTTGACTCATTGTTATGAATTACAAAGTTAAATGAAGCAAAGGAAGCTAAAGATCTATGCAGAACTGCAACCGTATATTACAGTGCTCTGTTCTCTCCTCCTACCCCGTTCGGACCACGGTCTAAACGTGTGTTTGTGTGTATGTGAGTGTACGTTATTTAGTTACCAGTTCAGCGTAAAAGTAGCAGAAATATATTTGGGAACTTATTCCTGTTCCTTAATATTTGACTCGTTGCAGGCGTCCCAGCAGGCCAATTATGCTCGCCAATTGTGATATTGTTTTGATGTCAATTTCACATTACGTATTATGCTCTCCGAAAAATACGATATCAAAATGACATCAACTAGACATCAACTTATGCGTATTATGATCAACTCTTTAAAATGATATCAACTTAAATGCGTATTAGGTTCAACTTTTTGACTTAAAACAGTATCGCATAAACGTCAAAAAAGTGATACAGGATATGATATTGATATGATCTTGATGTGACATAGGAATTTTTCATAATACCATTTAAAAACAATGTCAACTTGGCATCACATTGACATCATATTAGGATTATATCACTAAAGCATAATTGACTCGCAGAGCTACCTCAAGGATGCATGTACGAAGGTCGCTGGCACACGCAAGGCTCGGCGGTGGCGACGCGCGAGGCGTGCCTGAAGTGCGCGTGTGCCCGCGGCGCGCTGTCGTGCCGGCGCCGCGCTTGTACCGCGCTGCCTGACCCGCCGCCTCGCCGCTGCCACGTGCTGCACAAGAAGGGCGCCTGCTGCCCGGAGCTGCACTGCCCTGGTCAGTACAAAAACACTTCTATTGTGAAAACTCTGTCCTTCCCTAGTAATCAGAAACTCACTACAAAACATAAGCTTACTTTATAAGATGAATTCTGCAAATAGGACTGTTTGAGTGAAGAGGACATTGTCACGGTAATAATATCATACAGTATTCTATCTTCATACAAACGGTCGGAAAGCGAGTCATACCTACGCCACTCGAGTTCGATGTGCGCTCGGCGTGCACCCAGTCGCGAATGCGCCGCCGCGCCGCAACGACGACCGAACGGTCTGAATTGTTTTTTATGCAGTTAGCCGTGCTTAAACGTGCATTTTGTATTGTAAATATTTGATTTAATTAAGTAGATACCTACATAATTTAGTATGGAAAAGAACAAACGACGATCAATATCGTACAACAGCACAATTGCTGTTTTTGGTTGCTTGAATTCTTCAATAACACACCCAGAGATATCATTTTTTAAATTACCTGAAATATTGGAAAGGTGTCCTTACCTTTAATATTTTTTATATACCTATCTACTAGTACGTAATTTGTTTCTAATATTTAGGTTTTTCCATCGGGCAAAATATCTGGAATAATATATAAATAAGTGGTTAGGATGAAAAAAGAGACAATCGAGTAATCTACCTACACTCGCGTTAAAAACAAAACTAAATTAAATACTGTAGGCGGGCGGCCCTACCGCGTGCTAACCCAGCGCTCGGCTGTAGGCATTTATTTTCAAGGACAGGGCGGAGTCACAATACTGTATGGATAATATTACCGTGACATTGTTCTGCGTCCATACATAGTTAGCCTAAGAACCAACAATCATGAAATTATTTTCTAGGTTCGAAATCGCAAGTAAATGACTATTATTGACGCACACTTCTGAGAACTGAAACTATTAAGAAAACTATTTTTTTTTGAGGTTATGTTTAATATTCAATGAAATATAGATCAACCTATGAACTTAGTATGAACTCAGTATGAAGTGAATTAATATTACAACTAATTCATTTTATTAGGTGCGATTTTAACGAATAACTATTATGAAATAACTTGGTTAGGTAGGAATCATGAATAAAATAAAAACTGTAGTTTTGCTTCTCATTTATTGACTATTTTTCACATAACTGTATCATATTGTATTTATTTGTATATCACATGTATATTGTGTAATTATGCAGCGTGAATGTGTATCAGGTGCTCTTGAATAATTTGGCAGTATGATCCTCTCAGGCTGTTGTGGCACAGGTTCACTAGCACTTGGTAATAAGGTCTCTGCTCTTTGGTAACATCGATGGCATATTAGATAGCCGAAATAGTTAAATTAAAGGAAAAACAATCTCAAATAAACACACAAAAGGTAGTCCGTAACGACAATGCACTTTCCGGCATATTAAACTACTGGAATGCAGATTACTACGAATACAAACTGCCTGCACCACAACCACAGAGTATCGAGGTTTATGCCAGTCCTTCACTTGACAACAGTTTGTCCTTGTCATGCTTAATAAGAAATGAAAAGGATATACTTATGTCATGTTTTAAAATAGCAAATACGAATAGCCAAGTGAAGTGCCGGCATTAGGAAGAAAGAGTATTTTGCTTTTTTTTTTTACCGGATGTTAAGTGAAGGTGAAGTCCAGACGTGACGATAGCTGATACAGCAGTTTTACCTGCCACACCAGCCATCCTCACCCTGCCGGCCTGCATGTTGCTTCTTCACGCCTCTTTTAAAGGATCCCAGGTTGTAAGAGGGAGGGAACACGTGAGCGGGCAGAGCATTCCATTTACGGATAGTGCGACAAAGAAATGAGTCACCAAATTTCTTTGTACGCGTTGGAATTGTGGCCACAGTTACACGATGACAACGTAGGCCAGCGCGCGTGGTCCTCTGAAGGAAAGGAGAAGGTGGGATAAGAGAGAATAACTCCTCAGAACACTCGCCGTGGTACAGACGATAGAACGCGCTTAGTGACGCCACATCACGGCGTAATTGAAGAGGCTCAAGGTGTTTAGTCACCTCCTCATCGCCTATGATGTGGATCGCGCGTCGCTGTAACCTATCCAAAGCATCGAGCAAGTACTTGGCGGAGCCATCCCAGAGGTGCGAGCAATATTCCACGCAGGACCGCACTTGCGTTTTGTACAACAAGCACAGTTGATCGGGCGTGAAAAAACGCCGCACCTTGTTCAGGACTCCGAGTTTGCGTGAAGCTGTTTTAATCACGGTTTCGATGTAGTTCTTTGGATTCAGGTCTGAGCGAACTTCCATACCGAGCATGGAAATGTTGCTCTGCAGCGGTAGTGTTGTGCCCTGAAGAGATGGAAGGGGAAGGAATGACGATGTTTTTGCCGTGAAAGCGCAAGCCTGAGTTTTTTTGGCATTGAACTCAACCAAGTTCCTGGTACCCCATTCGGAAATGTGGTCCAAAGCCTGATTGAGTTCAATGACAAGATTCTCGCGTTTCTCCTTGGTTACCGCCAGCCCAGCCGCTGCTTGTCCGAGATACCCCGCATGCACTGTACTATCGTCTGCATAGCAATGAATATTCCCAAGAGGAATTAAGTCATTGATATGCAGCAGAAAGAGAGTGGGGGATAGGACGGAGCCCTGGGGAACGCCGGCATTCACTGACATGAACCGCGAACTGCTACCATCCGTAAGGACACGAATTCTACGCTCATGCAGGAAGTCAGCTACCCAAGAACAGGACTGGGCTGGCAGACCGTATGCCGGAAGCTTGGAGAGAAGGCTTTTGTGCCAGACCCTGTCAAACGCCTTGGCAATGTCAAGGCTGATAGCCAACGACTCGCCACGCTTGTCGATAGCCTCACCCCAGATATGAGTTAAGTACGCTAGAAGATCACCCGTCGATCGTTTCGGTCTAAAACCATATTGACGATCATTAATCAAGGAGTGATCCTCTAGGTAGCGGGTCAGATGGTTATTAAGGACCTTTTCTAAAACTTTACATAAAACTGAGGTGACTGCTATTGGCCGGTAGTTTGCCGGGTCTGAGCGATCCCCTTTTTTGGGCACCGGTTGCACATTGGCATCTCTCCAAGTCTCCGGCACACGCCCCAAAGAATACGAGCATTGGTACAAGCGCGTGAGCACGGGAGACAACTCCGCTGCACATTTTTTGAGTACTACTGCTGGGATGCCATCAGGTCCACTAGCTTTCCGGACGTCGAGTGATTGCAATTCGGCACGAACCTCGTGCTGCCTGATTTTAATATCAGGCATCGTTGTGCCACAGTGAGGTAATGATGGTGGCAGTGCATTGCAATCATCGATTCGGGAGTTAGCCGTAAAGAGTTTTGCCAGTAAATCGGCTTTCTCCTGCGGCTTATGGGCTAGTGTTCCGTCTGGGCATCTCAGAGGTGGCAGCGAGGGCTCGCAGAAGTTTTTTTGCACGGCCTTGGCCAGACGCCAGTAGCTACGGGAGCCCGTAGGATGCGTCATAAGTTCCTGGCCAACACGTGCAACGCGCTGGGCATCCTTGGAAGCAAAATTGTAGGCTGCTTTGAGTAAATCGACCTCGGGATCCTTGAGAGCGCGCCCTCTGATCCAAGCACGATATGCCGCTTGCTTACGCGAAGCAATGCTTGCAGCGCTGTCATAGATTAAACACATAAAATGGTATTTATTGTCTCAGATTATTTTTCAACTTTTTAATTTAGCTAACTTAACTGGAAGTGTCCGTCACAATCTAAATACTGATAATTATCGCAAAAAATATACTAAGAATTATCATAAATGCCAAATTGGTGTTGGTTCTTAGGCCAATTTTAACATTGTCCTTTGCGATCAACTTTGGATATATTTCTTTGTTTCGTTCGGCAACGCTCTGGATTACCGTCCATTCTCTTGAGTTTCGTAATCAGATTGGTCCTTTCTACAATCTGGCAGATCCTGGGGGCCAATCGCTTAACGGAAATGCTTTGGAAAACGCTAACGCTTACGATTTTATTTTGTTATTTCTAGCCGCCTGAGGTATTCAAATGCCTCGCGCTCTTTCTTTTTCTTTTGCATTGGTAATAACAATAATAAAAAAAATGAGCGTGAGGTATTCGAAAACCTCAGGCGGCTAGAAATAACAATATAAAATCGTAAGCGTTAGCGTTTCCCAAAGCATTTCCGTTAGGCGATTGGCCCCCAGGAACTAATGAAAATGGATCTGACGTTAACATGGAGAAGAGCAATTAAGAGGTAGAGATATAATTTTTTATTGACAATTAATATACAATTATTAAATTTATAGATGGCGTCAAAGTAATGGAACATGGTGCTGTGGCTAGGTTCGAAAACGATGACTTTACTGACATTGCTACGCCTGCTTCTATCACTCATGGTAAGCATTAAAACTGATGTCAATAACAAAAAAAACCTACAAAAATTTAGTAGCATAGGTACCAATTTTTTCCTACCTATATCCTTAGATTAAAACAAAAACGGTAGATACGGTACGCTCATACTTGCATCAAACAAAAACTGATCCCACGGCAGCGCGAACGGGACGGCGAGATCCGCGTCACTGCATCACCGACCCGAACGAAACAGCACGTTAAGTTTCAACGGCAGCGCGAACGAGACGGCGATATCCGCGTCACTGCACTACCGACCAATCACGCGACCAGTACTCGACGTCACTACCGAATAAGATTTAAAACAAACAACATTTTTTATGAAAAAAAATATATTTTATAGTACTTACGAATGAAAAGTGATGCCGTGGGTTTTATTTTTAGTTCTTGAGCAATTTGAGCACTTTTTAAAAACATACTTAGGCATTGTTTTATCATATAAACACAAAATATTACCAATATTCATTTTTGGCGTTCACATGTACGTCGTTTGCATGTCAAGTTGTGACTAAAGCGATTAGGGTCGTGGACCACAATTTGTGCGGATCACTTTTGTGAGGCTGGTGCCGTATCTACCCTTTTTGTTTTAATCTAAGCCTATATCCGACTTAAATATATTAAATGAGTGAGTCTAAATAAAATTAAGAAACGCTTCCATTTCCTCCCCGTTGGCTATTTCTCCATTGGAGCAGTGTTTGTCTAAGCAATAGGGATGGTGACTATTTTTTTTCTTCGTTTATCAGGTAGATTATCAAAAAGTATTGGACACGTATTTTTTCTTTTTTCACATAATATAAACATTGCAGAGATATATTGATTTGAAAAGTCGCATGACGTCACGTTTGAGTACACTTTTAAGCGAAAATTCACTAAAAAGTGACGTCACGAACCCCTACTCCCAAACTTTGACGCGCTATAACTTTGTCATTTTTTGGTTGATTGCCCAAAGAAAAAATACGTGTTCATTACTTTTGGATCATCTAACTGACGCGCAGTATGTTATGAGACCGTAAAATCGGACATTCTTATTTATTTGATGAACTCTTTAGAGCTCATTTATACAAATATGAGAGTAAAACTCCCGTTTGAAAATTCCAGGTAGTTTTTGAGATATAAAAATTGAGATTTTTTTTTTCTTTTTTATAAATGAAAAAACAATCTTACCCTGTAACTAATAACATTTTGTTTAGAAACGTTACAGTACTTCATAGAACTCTTTAAACTACACGTAATAAGCGTTTTAAGTGCTTCGTAAACGCTTGCAGTTAATTAGAAAAAAAAAAAATCTGTTATTTATGTTTTTATTTTTTTCTTCATTGTACCATAATATATGTAAACTTTTTCTATCGCAAGATATAGTCTGATATGTATACTAGTTGTATAAAAAAACAGCTTAATATTCCGTGGTATATTTGAGAAAAAAAATTAAACCTATTCTCTAAATTTTTACGCGTCTAGGGTTACAAATAAAAGTACTTATTGAATCCCACCTGTTATATTCATAGTATTCAAAGGTCTAAAAATTGATATTCGGCGCCTGCAGTTGTTTTTAAATTTTTATTTTATATTCATGTAAATTTATTTTCAGTCGATAAAAATGTTATTTTCACATGATAGGACTGTTGCATCATCACTTGGATCTTCGACCTGATCTTCGATACATTGTTCTGTAATATCGAACTAATATCGATCAATAGATTAAGCTTTTTGAGATCCAATAAAATTAGCTCAAAAAGAGGGTCAAATCTCGGGAAGGAAGATAATAAGCTGATATCTTTATATATATCTTTATATATATAATTCTTCTGTGAGTGTGTATGTCACTGAACTTCTCTTAAACGACTGGACCGATTTTGATGAATTTTTTTGTGTGTGTTCAAGGGGATCTGAGAATGGTTTAGATTCACAATTTTGTCCGCTGGACATCCCCTATTTTTTTAGGGCGGTACGAAGTTCGCTGTTTCAGCTAGTTTTTTATAAATCTATGTTTTGACGTTTTAAAGGTTACCTCTTAAATCTCATAATCATATAAGATCTAGTTTCTGCGTCTTAAGTTATTTAAGTTCGAACGGGAAAAGATAGGAATAGGGAGCGAGATATTTATAACAACGGGTTTTTCATAAATATCTCGCTTTCTATTCCAAGGTTTAAAGCTAATTTTACTGGGCTAAAGTATTTTCCACCGACATTCGACCTTTGTCATCTCTGGCATTGTCTATAATCGAACACAAGATTCAATCTTAATATGTGTGATTTTAATAAAATATTTAAACCTCCAAAAGAAATATTGCTTTTAAAAAGTTACAAGAAATTTACAATTGTATGTGACAGCCCTGGTGCATATTTTCAGTTTGTTTTTTCTCAAATATACCACGAAATTTAATGCTGATTTTTTTTATACAACTAGAATAAATATCAGACTATATCTTGCGATTAAAAAAGTTTGCATATACTATGGTATAATTGAGAAAAAAATAAAAACAAATATAACAAAAAGATTTTTTTTTATTTAACTGCAAGCATTTACAAAACACTTTAAACGCTTATTACGTGTAGTTTTAAGAGTTCTATGAAGTATTATAACGGCTCTAAATTAAATGTTATTAGTATACGAGAAAGAATGTTTTTCATTTTTTAAAAAGAAAAAAATAACTAACTTTTGAATTTTTGTATCTCGAAAACTAAGTGGAATTTTCAAACGAGAGTTTTTCTATCATATTTGCATAAATGAGCTCTAAACGATTCATCAAATAAATGAGAATGTCCGATTTTACGGTCTCATAACACACTGTGTGACGGACTAAATAGAATTTCGTTTACTGTACCCCGTCATCACCCCTATTATGTCGAGAACAGTAATCTATTGAACTTTCCAACCTTCTTAAAATTTTGTTAAATTTTATCGAAAATTTGGTTGGATTAGATTGGATGACCACTGATGGCTCGTTGAGTTTTTCCAGCGTGCGTTTCCGGCGGCACTGTGTTCGCGGCGGGGTCGGCGATGGGTTCGCGCGTAGCGTGCGAGCAGTGCTTCTGCCTCGGCGGGGCGAAGCGCTGCGTGCGGCCGCGCTGCCTGCCGCCGCCACCCGGGTGCCGCGCGCGCCCCGCGCCCGGTGCTTGCTGCCCGCAGCGCTACTACTGCGATCGCGTCAGCACTAAGCCGCCCGATCATAAGCATGTGCACGGTGAGAATCTCTTGTCTATTAGACAAGTCCGTCCGTCCGTCTGTCTGTGGTGCTGTTTCAGCGGCCAAACAAAATGACATAAGTATATCCTTTTCAATTCAAATTTAATTTAATATATATTCCATTTAACTTAGTGTTTTAATGCATTTTTGTTTTAATTTTTAGTATAGTTTAAGTTTCTTGAATGTGCAATGGTTATTAATGATATTGGTGTGGTGAGTTGGTTGTTACAGGCGAATGGACGAATGTAAGAATTATATTAAATATCCTTTAGTTATAATGCCAGTGTAATACTTTATATATATATATATGTATTTCCGTTTTTTTTTTGTTCATGTTGAGTTTGCCAGTAATTGTTTTTGCACTATGCTGAAAATTGTTACATATAAGTGTGATAATGTAAGTTAAGGTGTAAAAATGTTGGCAGACCTTTAATAATAAATAAATAAATAAATAAACCGTAAGAGATAGATAAAGAGAATATTTAAGTTATAAGTTAAGAATAGTCTGATAAGACTACAAACCGGATTTGAGTAACGTAGCACTTCCGGTTTTCGAGAAATCACAAAATCTCCGAAGTTCTCAATCAATTAAATACATTTTTTTTTTAAATCAGGTTTTGCTGAACATTTTGTTCACTGGTTTGCTAGTTACTTATAACAGATCTTAATTATCACATGTCCGGATGCATCGCAACAAATAGTCAGGAAACGTAGATGGTTTGCTGTATGTGATCAAGCCATGAGGTCGAGGACTACTTTTTCACGGAGATTCCTTCCCATTTTGGGTACACTTGTTTACAACAAAATAAACAAAGAAATAAATATCTATCCATTAAATAGGTTATTGATCAAAAAATCAGTATCATCCTTTCTTATGACAAAATCATATGAAGAGACAGAGGAGCTTATTTCTATACAACGATAATATAATTTTAACTTAGTTCTGTTATGATGATTGTGCACATGTTATTAAGTTTATAGTGAATTATAATTTAAGAATAAAAATTTTGTCGTCGTTAAGAATCCATTGGTCCTTTTTCATGCATACTTTTACACATCCTCTCACATATGTATGTGAGAGGATGTGTATGGCCATTCACTCGCACATTACACACAGAGAGGTCATTTATTCATTCACTTACACAATTTTTATTTTAACAGTTTTATAAAATCCAAATAAGTATTTCTTGTAATATCAGTATTACAAGAAACTTACTTCACTAGCTTATATGATGCAAGTAATTGTCTAAACCTGAGGATTGAGGCACTCTGTATGCTGAAATACAGGATGAAAATCCTAGTTCGGCAGCAGACGCTAAAGATTGTCTTTTATATTCTTAAACTCATATATGGTGTCCATAGTTTATAAGACGTAATGTTACTTATATGCTGGTCTAAATAAATATTGAAAATATTAAAGTTAAAATTTTCACAGGCTGTATTTCTGGAGTCTCTATAGCTAAGAACAACAAAGAACCCAAAAAAAACAAAGATATTGATGTGTTTAGTCTGTTTAACTTTATATGTTGATGCTCTATCAACGTCGTGTACCTATTGCGAATGTTTAATTCTTGTCTAAGGAAATTATTCAGGAACTTTCTGTATTTTTTTTTATTCATAACAATAAGCAAGTACACAAAATCACATAGAGTTGGTGTTTGATAAAAATATAAATACTTAAGAAACCAATATGAAAATTTGCTGATTTTGTTTCCAGATTGCCAAGTGAACGGCGACCGGATAGCCGAGGGCGAACGCGTGGTGTCCGCAGAAAAAGCGGTCAACTGCACGCAGTGCTTCTGCCTGCGCGGCGCTATTCGCTGCCAGCCGCTGGCGTGCGCGCCGCCACTACTCGGCTGCCAGCCGCTGCTGAGCCCCGGCCAGTGCTGTCCGCACCAGTACCACTGCGAACACGCCCATCACGGTACTCGCGCTTTAGTGCCTCTATAGCGTTATATAGTGTTTCTATCTGTGCAGCGCTGTCTGCTGCCAGCCGCTGATGTATCCCGACCAGTGCAATACGATTGCTAACACACATAAGAAGCGTACTCACTCTAGTGTTCCCTGTTGTCCAACCACCCAGCTACGTTATTTCTAAATGTAAAGAAAATAAATAGCATTCAGGCTAACTCTTTGTCTCTTTGACACCCATTGGAAACACTTGTATAGTGTATTCAACGTTCACTTTAATTTCTCTCAATTTCTATCACGGCTAAAGACAAAAGAAGCAAGAAAGTTGTGAATCTATGCAAATTATGAAAATGCGAACATTATATTATACTATGCATTTCTTAACGTCTCATAACCCATATCAATAATACCTTCACAGACACAAACTACAAAACTGGCATTAAAAGTTGTTAGTCCAAAACAAGTTCTGAAATATGAATACTTGGTCGTTGAGACGAACGTCTAATTACAATCTGCAAGAAAAAATGTCTAACTGACGCATTAGCTTCTTTTCTTGTCATTCCCAGCTCAGAATCACAGCCTGCATTTGTAGTTTAAAATCAACATATTTACTGTTATAATTTTTATTATTTTAAAGCATGTAACTGCTTGATGTTTAAACCTAATTGCTATTTCTTCTTTCAAATGTTTAATACTTGTAAAAGTATTCATTTGACATTGTGGGTTGCCTATAATGCGAAGAGATGGCGCTGCCTTGCAGCTTAAGAATGGCTAGAAGAATTTCGACGCGGTCCGTGAGGGCCGCGGTAGCATAATTGGTCAGTGCATTCGCCCGGATTGCGAAGGGTGCGGGTTCGAGTCCCGTCTGCTGCCTGGTCCGCGTGGAATTTTTTCTAGTTATATTTTCTTTATATTTACTGTTTTTTTTCAGCATTGGTGACCAAACATATCATGCCTATATCAGATAACAACTTATTATCAACGAGGTATGACGACCGAGCCTTTCACGATGACAAACTAGTAGAGCAAGAAACCACTACTAAGTTAATGACCACCAGTTCCAGTACTACTAAAAACATAGCCACCATTACAGCATCGAATAATGAACCTATCACTACTACTAAAGTGAAAAGAAAAACAAACGATCCACCGCCCCTGAGCACATCCAAACAACCAAATTTGAATGCTACAAAGACGACAACAAAAAAAGATTTAAGCACAACGACGACAACAAAGAAGCTGGTGGTAACAACCACCACAGAAGTTACTCCTACTACTGAAACATTAGACAAAACATTTCCAACAGAACAACCTGAAAAGACCGTTAAAATTATAATCAATGGTACAATCAACTGCACGGCAGCGTTATCTTCCACTTCTATTCCTCTCAATATATCATTAAATGATACGGATAGAACTAAAATTGAAACTCACCAAAGAACTCCAATCAACAGAGTTGACATTGAAGCTTTTACGGAATATCCTAACGACATAATCACAGATAGGAGTGCTAATGGTGATTTTGATGAAAATGATATGTTTATCATTAATGTAACAAGCTCCTTAAGAACAAATAATAGTCATTCCACTGCCGGTCCGTCCTTATCAACAACACCTAAGTCGGCAACGCCAATTGATGTAGTAGGTATTGTGAATACTTCCAAGAAAAGCAAAGGCGACTATGATTACGATTACACCGAGCCAACACTGCCACCGTCATTACCTAACCTAAAGTAAGTTAAGTTAGCTATTAATATAAGTAATGGAACATCAACTCATGTTAACGTAATTTTCTTTGCTTCTAGGATTATACCTTTTGTAGCAGCCGATGCAGTTGTTGATGACGACGTTTCATCCAAGGACAAAACTTTGACATATCCAATTTTAGAAAGAGAAGACAAATTTCCAGTTTACTATCCATCTGTGGATACTAAAGAAGTACCATATGCTAATAGAAGAAAAGATGTTGGCTATCCTACTCAGTATCCTGTATTTGTATCGCAAAAGGCGGAAGCGCCCAAATACCCATCGATAACACAAGAAGTCGACTTGCCAGATGTATCTTACTCAGAAAGTCACAATAATGTACCATTATCTCAGCATGATTACACTGTATCCACTGCAATAGGTAACAATATCCCAGAAATTAACAAGGTAGTTACAAAATTACCGACAACACGCCCTACATTATCTGTTGAAACACCATCTGTAAATCTTTTCTCACCACCTATAGAAACAGAAGGTATTATTTACTTCTTAAAATGAATAATTTATTGTAAATACCACTAAAACATAGTGGTCCGTTTATTCTAATCTGATTCTATGATTTTCTACATTTAGGAGGATTCATACCCAAAGGTCCAGGAATAATTGACGAATATTACGCTGTTTATCCTAGTACTCCCCCTGGACCTCCAGTGCCTCATCTTACCACATCGATGCAACTGGATATTGCTAAAGGTATCATTGTCATCTCGTTTTGTTCAATATTTAAATTAAATACTCCAAGAATACGATAATGCCATAATTTGATGATTTCAGGGGATTGTGTCTCAGGGGACGGCCGTCGTGTATTGGAGGGTGATTCCATTTCATTGGCTTGTTCAATCTGCTCGTGTGCTTGGGGAGAGTTGCATTGTTCTCCACGACCCTGCCATATTCCCCACGGATGTATTAGGAGACCGGCAAGTAGCAGTTCCGTCGATCTTTGCTGTGGAGAGCTTATCTGTGAACAAGGTAACAAATAATTAATAATACAAATATAATATTTCGAAATGTTTGGTAAACAAAGTTTCTATTGACTCTCTTATCTATCAGCTAACATGAAGTTAATAAGTTCTTTCTTTGATTTTAGGCAATAAGACCACACAGAAACCTAATCTTTTAATAAATATACAAGCAAACGAGACTAAACCCCAAATGATAAATAAAACGTCCAGTTCTGGTCAAGTGCTGCAATCCAAAGTGAACAATACTTTGGATAACTCTACAATATCCAATAATAGAGAAACTCTTGAAAGCAACAGTTGGAAAACGACCACCGAAAGTAACAGTTGGAATGTCTCCACAACGAAGGTCAATGCGACTACACCTACCTCTAAACCTCTGGTTTCAACAGAAGTTGTTTCTACAACGCAATCTTCTACGATTATTACCACTATAGATTATTCTGAAGAAGAAGAAGAGTCAGACGAAGAGGAGGACGAGGGATTCTCTTTCGGAAGTGTCCTGAAATTATTATTGAGCGACAGCTATGAATCGACTACCATACCCCCCCAGAAAAATAAGCCTAGTACGTTTATGCCGAAACCGCCAAACACTACCACGAGCACTACGACACCAACTACGACTAAATTACCACCTGCGAAACCACCCCTGGTCCCATTTATTCCTATGCCCCACCCATACATGCCACCGAAGAAGTCGTACACACAAAACACTGTCAATAGAATAGACCATCTCGTTCTAGGCGAAGCGACAGCGATCAAGAAGACTACTTTACGTCCTGTCACTGCTCCTTTTAGACCTATAGTTACTTTTAAACCAGTTATTAAACATACAACTAATCAAAGACCGTATATGAGTACTAGGGTAACAGAAGCGACAAAGAAGGAGGAAGTGACCACATATCGGTCAGTAGTGGAAACCGCTAGACCTGCGTCCAGTCTCCCACTGCCTGGTATACTTAAGCTGGCTGGTTGTAACATCTATGGGCGCATGTATCGGGTGGGAAGGATCATCACGGAGTTGTCCACGCCCTGTCAAGAATGCTGGTGTACAGAGCTTGGAGTGCAATGCAACTCGCTTAAATGCTGAAAGTGAAAAGGCCGCGCTGCTCACGCCCGGTACTTTGCATGACTTTAATGTAAGCTAATAAAAGTTTAACTGCATAGTTGATGCAAAGATAATGAAGTATGGCAGATACCAGAGGCGTTTTTGCATTTATTGTACAGAGTGTGATCGTGTGCAAGACTGATGAATGACAAAGGAAATAAATTTTAGACAATATTACAATAGTAGACCGCGATCTCATACACGGATAGTTGAATACCGTATTATAGCGATTTATACATCTCTTGTCAAAAAGTTTAAGTATTTTTGATATTATGTAAACTATTTTACGCTCTTAACTAATAAAATACCTATTAAGTAAGTTTTTTGTGCTGATATTTAATATACATACTTTCATTAATATAAAAAACAAAATATATTACCTACTTGCCTCATCAAAATAGTTTTTAGGATTAATTTTAGACGTATTTACACTAAGTGAAATCTTGTTTTTATTACAATTTTAAGATTATCACCCCATGGTAGTTTGTAAGAAATAAATTATTTTTAACAAGTATTTTGTTTATTTTGCATGACGGATAATTCCTTTCTGGCTTTTCAAGATGACCATTGTCTACAATGTTCACTAGGATCCTGTGCATACTGACCATTCATTGGTGATTTTTTGTTATTGTTTGTTGTTTGTCATTGTTATCTATACAACAATACCCAGGAACGGGGTTAGTTTCCGAAAAGATTTTTTGACGACATCACTGTATTGTTGGGATAACTAAACTGAGGTTATATTATAAGCAATATTGACTTTATTATTAACCATATCCCAAAAAAATATCATCAATATATCAGCCGAGAGGCGCCTATTGCTGGAAATAGGCCTCCCCCAAGAAATTCCAAAACCGACCGGTCTTGCGCTACCCGCAACCAGCGGCTTCTCGCGACCTTTACCAGATCAGTCTACATTCCAACGCCTTCCAACGGCCTTTAGTCCCCCTTGTAATGTGCCCTGTGCACTGCCACTTTAGGCTCATAATTCTTAGGGCTAAGTCGGCGACCTTAGTTCTTCTGCGGATCTCATAATTTCTGATTCGATCGCGCACAGAAACGCATAAGCCTCTCCTTTACCCTTTGGGTGATTTGAGCCTTCTTATGAGGCCCATTGTTAGCGACCAGGTCTCAGTTCCGTAAGACATCACTGGCATAACACACATATTAGACTTTCGTTTTAAGACACTGCGGTAGATGGGCCGTAATCAGTGTTGCCAACTCGGATTTTGAAAAAGGCGTAGGCCCGATGAGAAAATTACGTAGATTTAGTAATTTTTGCATATAAAAAGTACGTAGATCTACGTACTTTTTTCTGAGTGAAATTAAGAAGTCAGGTGAAACCGAATGAAACGAGTATTTTGTTATACAATTTCTTTAAAAACGGGAGATAGAACAAAGAGTTCTTGGAGAAATCACTGCATTGGAAGAATTTACCACGCTGCGGTTGACCATGTGGTATTATAAAACCATGATTTCTAATAGATCACATGAAAAATAAAGTTAGTTATCATAACTACACTTGGTAAAAGACTCTAGAAAGTTGTGGTTAAAATTGAAAAAAGAGAAATAATACATACACTTATACATGAACACATGTTAAAAACTTACTAATTCCTGTAACTTTATCGACTGAAAGTCATTTCTTTTTGCAAACATCAATTCGATGTAAGTACTCATTGAATAATATTTAAAGTTTAAAAATTCAATTTTTAAGGTTACGAATGTACCTACTAAGTCACTTTGTTTTGTTGTTTCTCCTTTCACAAATCCTGCGTCCAGCATTAATTTAGTCAACAAAACCAATGACGGGAACCTTTTCTACAAGATACAAGAGTTTTTAAGATACATCTATATAATAAATAAACATTTTTATAGTTTTTAAGAAAAGTAACGGAAAATATTCTTCTTTATTCTAGTGAATTAAGTTATTTTACAAATTTGAAAAAATTAAAGAAAATACGTAGATTCTGGGACTAAAGTTAGTAGGTTTGCAGAAAAGGCCTAAAATACGTAGATCTACGTAAAAAGACGTAGAGTTGGCAACACTGGCCGTAATTATGTTGCGTAGCTTCCCAAACGCTGCCCAGCCGAAATAGATTCATCGCTTGACCTCTTCCTGGAAGTTGCACTTACCTAGTTGCACTATTTATCCCAGGTAAACATACTCGTCGACAACTTCCACCCGAACTTCTTCCTTCCAACTTGCAACCTTTACCAGAGTGTGTACAACATGGGAATTAGATATAATTTTGATCTTGTCCATGTTAATTTTAAGACCCACTTTAGGAAAATTTTACAAAGGTCATAGAGCATTATGCCCAGGTCTTCCAGGATCTCAGCCATCACTACGATATCATCGGTTTTGCTCTCGATTATGACGGAGTTGAATAGCCACCAGAGCCGACGTTGACAATTTTCGCGGGCGTACTGACCTTACAAGAATGAATTATTGAATGACCAGTAACGACACGCAAATAAAGTTTGATTTAAAAAAAAATACTATACCTACCGAAATTTCATGAAGCAGAATCTTAGATGTATAGTCATATTAGTTTTTAAGATATTTGGTTCTGAAGTAAAAAACGATCATTTTTTAAAGACGAAATCTGTCGAGAAATTTTTCGATAATTATGTTTAAGGGCTAGTAAAAAATTTGCTTAGTAACTGAAGATATACATAAATAAAAATGTATGTGTATAGCATCTATATAGGTATTCTATTAATGGCATCAGAAATGATGATTTGATTTAGTACTCTTATATTATTAACCTCTGTCAGACAATGAAGTCATACAAAAGTTAATGGCACTAGCTCCCTAGCTATTAGGAAGGGTTCTAAAAAGAAATAAAATAAAAAAGTTTATTATAAATTACAAAGTTTAATGCTAGTTATCACAAAGCGATTCAAGGTGTTATTTAAGTTACATAAATGGGAGTCAGGATGGAGATTACGAGAAACTTTGATCATCAGTACTTCGCGTCCAGACTCGGTTACAGAAGAAAAAAAATGTGCACATAGTGGAGAATCAGCATCCGTCTTCCACATCTATGGAAGACAGATACGACCTCAAAGAGAAAATTTTGCCCAAATGAGCAACCAAATACAACCACCGGAGACAGTTGCACAGTGTTACCAACCCTTACCAAAATTTTACCCTAAGTATTTTTTTAAATCCCCTAAATATAGAAATTTATAGGTACTAAATTCTTTCGTTGCTCATAAACTAATACGTTACATATTTTGTAACAGTAAATTATTTTATTGAATAAATACATTTTCCGAAAGGAAAATCAAACGGAAATGATTTGACAGGCTGTTAAATCTTTTTTAGCGGTTTTGATTGGTGGAAGAAAAGGACTTTTGTCCATACAGCCTTAGGAAACAACCTGGCACGTCAGTTCAGTCATTTCATATTGTGGTGCGTTCCATTCTACGCACAAAACTGAAAGAAAACACACGCTTTGGTTTTCGATTTAATTGCAAGTTTTGTTAAAATCCCCTAAAAGAACTCCTAAAAAAATCCAGCCCTTAAATAAGTCTGTTTTAACCCTTCTAGCCCCTAAATCTGGGGGCAAAACCCCTAAGTTGGGAACCGTGTAGTTGTATGTAGCCGGTGTCTATGTTCAGTTGTTCATTTCGCAGAGCTAAAAATAAGCTATCATCTTTCTGTTAACAATACATTGAAGAGCCTTTTTCACATGACGACGATACTAATTTAAAACAAATTTTAAAACAATGTATTTGTAATGCAATACGAATTATTTCTAAAAACAACCAATTAAAACAAATGCTATCAACAGTCATACTCAATATTAGATATAGATTTGGGAGCGAAAATAATTTCATTGTTCTACAATCTGAAAAGATTCAGTTTCCTTCACCCTACCTGATGTTAAGTGTTGGTAAAATCTAAATTCTTTTGATTATCCATTTGAACTGCAGGTCAATTATTATGCTTTAGTGATATAATCCTAATGAGATGTAAATATGATGTTGATGCCAAATTGACATTGTTTTTAAATGGTATTATGAAACATTCCTATGTCACATCAAGATCAATATCAATATCATATCCTGTATCACATTTTTGACGTAATAAATAAATACTGTTTTTAGTCAAAAAGTTGAACGTAATACGCATTTAAGTTGATATCATGTTGATATCATTTTAAAGAGTTGATGCTAATACGCATAAGTTGATGTCTAATTGATGTCATTTTGATAGCGCATTTTTCGGAGATCATAATACGTAATTGTCCCATTCGGTGTCGAGACCCTTGGTCCGTGGGGTCCTAACGCTGTAAGGCTTTTTAAAGAAATAGCAAAAAGATTAGTCGACATCACAGGAGACCGAAGAGCTGGCAGCTACCTCGGACAAAGAATTAGTCTAGCTATTCAAAGGGGGAACGCTGCCAGTATCTTCGGAACCTTGCCTAAAGGGACTCCTTTTAATAATGTATTTTAGTTATTATATTTTATTTTTTAAGGTTTTTAGTTTTAGGTTCATTGTTATAGTACATTTTTTGTTTTAATTATTCTTAAATTTGTTCATACGTAATATGAAATTGACATCAAAACAATATCACAATTAGCGAACATAATTGGCCTGCTGAAGTAATGTAGGCACCTTTGGTTTGAGATGATTGTTGACAACTAATATATAGTGAAAACACAACGTCTTATTTACGCTTCTCTGACTAGACAAAACGGCCAAATACATTAACAATTTCTTACTAAATATTTCAGACACTTAATACTTATAAAATAATACTTCATAATTCCTTTTAAAAACAATCAAAGAAATGCTGTTTTCAGTACTTAAGAGTATGAATTATAAGAATTTAAAGTCAATGTCGCCTCATAATCTGTTAGAAATTTATCTAAGAAGTGTACGATAGTAGTATTAAATAACTTGTATGTTGATTATTGCAAACATAAGTGTTTACGCATTTGCTATTTGAAAATCAAAATTTACACTACAAGGTCGCGACTAGTGACACGCATCTTTGGTAAGATAAAATATACTATGTTTAAAATCATTTAATTTTTTTTATTCTGTATAATAAAGTGGCACTAAAGCAATGTTTTACTTATTCTATTTGCAGAATATTTGCAGTGAACATGAGATAAAATCAATTAAAGAGTGTGTATCAATTCGTAGTAAAAGAAATTTCATTTTGAGTCCTTTACGGGAATACAAAAACGTTTGTAATCAATAATTGTAAAAAACATAAAAACAACGATATGTGCGATACTTGCTTACATCAGTAAACATAAAACTACTTAAAACTAGAACAATATCTTTGAAACATCGTTACACAACACATTAAGTAAGATACGTTTTAAAAATTTATATTACAAGAATCACTAGCCAAAGTTTTGATGCAAAACAAACGAAAGATTTCATCGAAATCATTTTCTAAACGACTTACAATTGTTCGAGTAACAATACACTTA